CCCCGCCCCGCCCCGTCCCGGGCCGGCCTCACCGCCGCCTGTGTTGCAGGGCGGAGTGTCAGGAGCAGGTGAACAAGTTCCCCTCCTCCAGCTTCAAGAAGTTCGCCACTGAGAGGGACGCCTGGGCCTTCGTGCGCGGCGGCCTCCCGGAGCAGGAGCAGCTGCTCGAGCCGGCAGGTAACTCGCCCTCTGCTCGCCTCTACCTCGCCCGGGCTGGAGGGGAGTGCAGGGCAGGGCAGGGCGGCCCGCCGGGGAAGGGGAGTGAGGGACGCCGCGCCTGGCTGCTGCGCGGCCTCTGTAAACACTGCGGCTTCCGGCTGAACGGGGGAAGCACTGGCTGTTTATCCTCCGGTGGACGTCCTGTAACTGGCGGAACCGTGGCGGTAAGTGTGGCGGTGGCCCTGCCCGCCGGGCACAGCGATGGATGTGTCTGTGCAAGGAGAGTATTTCTGTAGGTGCTTGCAGAACACTGCTTGTACCGTGTCCGTTTTGAGAGCTGTTTTACATACGGCGTGTCTCTTCTTCAGTTTGGTCTAGGATCAACAATAACTGCTGTATACTATAGTATTTTTTGCATAGTAGCTCGGGGTGGTGATAGCAAGCAGACTAGCATTGCTAACAGGTGATAGAAATTGCTATCTTTAGAAGCAGTCCTTTCGAATAAAATTTAACCTTGTATGTAGTTGAACTGTTTGTTGGGTTTTGGTTTTTTTTTTTGAGGGGCTCATGGTCTAGCTGTAACACAGGAAGATAGTAGCCAGAGAGGGGAACCAGAAACAAACGTCCTGTGTTGCAATACGTGTAAAAGGCCATATGAACAGTCTACAAACGAAGAACATGGTGCAAAGCGGATAAAACAGGATGAAGTATACTCAGTGCCAACAGTCAGCGAAGATAAATTTTCATATATGGGTGAGGTCTTTCTTTATTCCTGTAATTCTTTTCAGTTCTTTGCACTTTTTCATAAGTAACAAGCGTAATTATTAGAAAGCTTTTAGGGAGGCTTGATGGCAGCATCAGGCTCAGCGTAACACTGTTTTTTTAAAATGGAAATGTGAGCCATGATATGTTTGTTCCTATTGTCTTTCAGTGTAATATTAGTTGGCTTTAATTAATAGAAACATATGGCCTAATGTTACCATTATAGGTGTGATTTTTGTGTGTGTGTGTGTGTGTGTCTGGGCTACAGACAATGTTTAAATATAGAGATGTAGCTAAGTTTTAAAGTTGACTGAAGAAGACAGGAACTATAATGAGAATAGGGAACTTGGGACAGAGGTGTTTCTTGAAGCTGAATAACTTAATACCAGTGAGGGTGTGAAGCTGCAGTGGAATTTCTGGTGTTCTGCATTACTGATTAACATGTCTTCTGTAGTCACCTTTTTGAAGGGCGCTCTGGGGAGGGAGGTTTTGGGGATTAATCTGCTGGCAGACATTTGTTTTTGTGTAGAGTCTATGTCCTTGAAGGAGTGCTTAAACTTCTGCTTTTGGCAATTCTTTTGTAGGTGATTTTGTAGTTGTTTACACAGATGGTTGTTGCTCAGGGAATGGACGTAATAGGGCACGTGCTGGAATAGGTGTCTATTGGGGACCAGGCCACCCTTTGTAAGTAGCTGGATGGATTGTTTGTTTGCGGTTTTTTGTTTAATGTATTCCTGTTTCTTTTGTGTGTGATTTACAATACCAGCCTCCTTTTGAATATGAAACCCTGTTCTTGAGAGTCTTAATGATAGTGCTATGAGACTAGTGAGTTACTGAGGAGAAAAGACAAATAGGCTTCTCTGGGAGGTAATAATGTGGGGAACATCAACTGGAAATAGTATTTTCAGGGACTGAAGCTATAATTCAAGTGATGCAGAAAGTTTTTGAAATAGGTGTAGGTGTTCACAGAAGGCAACAGATGTAATTGCATATTGGTGGCAGGTCCAAATATGCAGGTTGCACTATGCAGGTGAAAATTTGAGCTAGAATATCTAGTCATTCTCCTTTACAAAAAGTAGTGTGCTCATATTTATTTTTCTGATGTGTAGTCATTATACACCATTTTGAATATTTGGGGTAGCTAATCTACTGTTCGTTCCTTGAACACAGAAATACCAGTGAAAGACTTCCTGGACGGCAGACCAATCAAAGAGCAGAAATACATGTAAGTAGTAAATGTCCTAAAATGCTTCTGCATGTTAGACTGCAGAAACCAGTTATGGATCTGTGAGGGAAGCACACAGAATACCAGGAATTATGACTTGAAACAAATTGTTCTCTTCAGGTTTTACTGATCTTTATTGAACAGGGTAGTTCACCTTGAGGATTCCCAGATATCATCAGGGCAAGCACAGAGATTTAAAACAGCCTTGCATTGGGAAAGTATCTCAGAGCTTGGGGTGAGGGCTCCTGAGTACTGGTTAGGAGGAGAATCAGCTTCTTACTGTGATGGAATCAGAGTATCATATTCCTTAGGTAAATATAACAATCAATTCTAGGCTCTCAGGAGTAACTTATGTTACTTCTGAAGTAAACTTCTGTTGGCAACAGCAGATTTAATCTTCCCTTCTTGCCTCATCTTAATTTTGGTACTGCTGCTGTCCTGCACTGTATCTTTAGAGATGAAATGAAATGGGTAATTGATCTGCTTAAAAACTACAGGAAGCTCATTTTAGTGAAGGACAAGCAGAGACAATGGTGGTGTGCCAGGGATCAGACTTGTCACTAAAGAACTTCTAAGTTCTATATCGGAATCCAGCCACTTCACCCTCTTACTATATTTCATAGCAACAAAAAAACAGTAAAAAAAAAAAAAAAAAATCCCTTTTAGGGATTCCAGATTTTTGGAACTGGTGTGAATCCTTCCTCCTCAAAGTTATGGGGAAAATGCCTAAAACTTGGTGTGCAATTGATGAATAATCTTTGATAGAAAATTGGGCAGAGCGCTACTCCTTCAGTACAGAGTTGAACATCAGAATGTTTTGGGGTTTTTTTGCTAGTGAAACTTCAGTGGCTCCCTGTTTGCCTTTATTAAGTGGTCATCTGCATGCATAATTTTGGGCATCTCCACTCTAAAGCATGTTGATACTCACTGATGGAGAGATTACAGTAATATTCTTTGTAGTTCTGTGTTAGCATCAGGTACTTTGCTGGTATTTTAATTCCATGTGTTCAAAATCCTGTTCTAAATTGTTACTCTACTGAAATGTTCTTAAGGCAGCCTGCAAAGCAATAGAGCAAGCAAAGAGTCAAAACATCAAGAAACTCATTATCTACACTGATAGCAAGTTCACTATTAATGGTAAGTTAATAATTTTATTTTTCCTGAATCTTAAAGAGATAATGTGTACTGTTTTATCACGTAAGTCCCACAGAACATACTGAGTCCTGGGGAGAGGCATATAAGGAAGAGAATGCATAACATGTCAGTACTTATGACTGCTTGTGGAAAATCTTCAGAATATTATGGGAATCACCTGATAACTGCATGAAATACAAATAGAGGCGAAGTGCCTGTTACAGCAAAGGCTGTTACATAGCTACAGGATTTTTGTCTTAAGGCATTCAGTATGACATAAAGTCTAGAAAAAAATCTTGTTCATGTATACTCTGTTAAGGATGTACTCAGGAGAGTACTCAAATGTTTGCTGTTTCCAGATCACTTTGGAGTTGGTTTTGGTTGGTTTTTTGTTTTTTTTTTTTGAAATAACATTAAACAAAAACTTACTGCAACTTTTGACTGACAATTAAATGTTGTGCTTTCACGCTTTGGATTTTTTTTTTTTTTGGGGGGGGGGGGAAGGCAAGAGAGGAATGTGAATATCTTGTTCTTAATATAACTTCCTATACTTGAGCACAACACTGAAAGTGATTATCTGTTTCATTGCTTGTTATTAGTAAAGCAACTAAATGGTTTGTGTGTTAAAAATCTTTGTATCTCTTCCTCCAAATAAGTCATTCTGCTTTCCAGAAGCCACCTCTGATTTCTGGAAGTGGAGAAGCATGAAAGAATAGCATCAGTTTCTTTTTTGGGTGGCTTATGTTTAGAAGTACAGCAAAACTTACCTTGAAAAACTCTGATGTTGCCTTGAGTTGCAATACCCTAGAAAGGACAGAAAGCTACTGAGTAGGAACAAGGGACTGTTAGTCAAGGAAGAAGTTACTGGAGCTGTCACTCACTGCTTGTTTCAAATTCTGTTCGTTTGCATGTGCCTGAAAGAGGTTCTGTCCAGAAGTGAAAAGTGCCAAGAAGTTTTACTCTGTTCTGCTGATTTTTAGCTTATGAGTTGAGGAAGGGAGAATAAATGTTGAGAAACAAAGGGATTTTTCCATTGCTTCTCCCTAGAAATAATCATGTAAATCTCATTGAGTAGCTTATTCTCCCCAAAAGATATAGGTATAGCATTTTCTTTAGGAGCAGAATGTGTGTGGCAGGTTTTGTGAGGTTTTTTTGTTTTGGTTTGGTTTTGGATTTTTTCCTTACTCTGTGCTAGGAGCATTCTGAAAAAGAGAAAAGGGAGAGTGTTCTTCAGGACTAGGTGTTGCATGCTGATCAACAGAGTCCAAGTGCATAATTTATTGCAAGAAGCAAGTTTTTCAAAGCATAGAGGAGCAAAGAAGCATCTTTGCAATTCTTTGCTTTGTGGGAGAAAAGTCTGTACCATCTTATCTGTGAAACTGGTGTTATGAAGGAGGAAAAGTTGCTGTGTTGGGTAGAATTCCTGTTAAACTTGGGTGTGAGACATATGAGGGAGAAAAAGACTCTTTAGGTACAGTGTCTTAGTCTCTTTATTTTTGCTTGCAGTTTGTTCTTGCATTTTGGATCACTGAGGTGCAGGTTCCTCTCTTGTTTAATCAAAGTTTTGTAAATGTGTCTAGGACAGAGGAGGAGGCTTGCATTTCAGTACAAATGGATGTGGTTTGGTTTTTAGGAGGTTTTGTGTGCAAAATTGGTGATTCTCTTACTTGGGTCAGATCTGTTTGTTATGAAAGCAGTAAGGATGCCTTACATTGTTGAGACCATCTCAAAAAATAGATCTTTATTGAAGTAGTAATATAGTAAATTTTCTGGCCAGCAAGGGATGGCCAGAACATTAAGTTTTGTTCTGTAGAAATCTGCTTACATGGTCCTTTTCTGAAGGATTCTGTTTAGTGTGCAGAAGCCCTAAGACAGGTGGCCATCTGTTTTTCCTCTATGCATGTGTGTCTCCTTCATCTCTCAAAACAAGGCATAGGTTTGTTCTAGCTTACTGTACCATCAAATAAATCCTTAGCTTCAGTTTATTGAAGTTCATGTCATAATTTTGTTTGTAATGCATATAGAAGATTGTAGTCTTTAAATTAAATATCTGTTTGGGAAAGCATGGTTGGATAATTCAAGTGATAATGGAAAAATATAATCCTGAAAGACAGTAGTAGAAAACCAATTAAGTATATCTTCCGTCTCCAGTGTCTTTTGCCTGAGACTTGGTACAGAGTTAATGTCTTGTTAAAAGGCTGTTTGCTCCATCTTATCCTTGTTGTCGTCTTTAATAGCATTTTTATGGTAATGCTCCCTTTGCATAGGTATTACAAGCTGGGTTGACAACTGGAAAACAAATGGCTGGAGAACAAGTTCAGGAGGAAGTGTAATAAATAAAGAAGATTTTGAAAGACTTGATAATCTATCAAAAGGCATAGAAATTCAGTGGGTAAGTACCTCATTTCTTAATGATATCTTAAACATCTTGTAAAAACTTACAAGTATGACCATAATTAAGAATTTTATAGAGCGTAATATTGTACACATAAGTAAAACCATAAATACGGAGAAGCTGCTTGTTTTATTTAAAGCAAATAAGCAACTAACCTAGGCTCTTGGAACCAGTATTTCGTTTATTAAGATGCATGTTTGTATTAGTTTTCTGTCTCCTGTTACTGCCTAGAAAATGCCTGCAATAATTATTCTTACTTTGTCAGTACTATTAGTAGATGAAATTTCTGTTCCTGGAAATGTAATCTTAAGACATAACTGTGTCTTTTTGAGTCGTAGTTGAATTCATAGATTTGCTTTTCAGAATTCTTAAGATGCTGGTTTGTTGGTGTAATTCAATCACATGAGTGTCTTTAAAGACTGGGAAAACTGAGAGAGTATAACCCCAAATGAAGTAACTCTAGCTTTCTATACCTTAACTGCATTTTTCTCCAAGGAAACTGGGCACAGTCTTTCAAATACCCTTTTTGAAGTTTAAAATAGTTTAACTCTCCAGTAAAGATGTAAACCAAATTCTATATAGGTATTCTGGGTAAAATTTATTTTTCTGTAACCTCTAACATCAGTGCTAAACATTGTAGGGGATATCTTCCCTCCCCTCCTTCTAAATTTTAATTGTGGTATATGACTGTGGATTCTAGAAATAAATCCCTGTACCATTGACTTTGTGGCTGCTAATGGCGCATTTATTGGGCTTCTGTCTTTATTCTGTAGAAAACAAGATGATGTAGATTTTTAATGTGCACTTTTTCTATGGGAAGTCTATTGCAGATATTCTTCCATTCATCATGTTCTGTGTGCCAGAGCTGAGAACTCCAATTTAAAGTCTGTCTAGAATTTCTGTAACAACTGCTATTGTCTATTGAGGAGAAGAAAGTGTAAAAACTTAAAAGTTCAGCTGTCCTTAGGGTATTTTACATAATAAAAAAAACCCCAAAAAACTTCATGCATATTTCTTGCACCTGAATCTTTTAAACTTGGGCAGACTTTTATTTCAAGAGGAGCAGTGTAAGCATACACTTTATTATGGTAATCTGCCTGCTGGGCTGCAGGTGTGTCTCTGCTCCACTGTGAACTTCCATGGGCACAGGGCACAGCTGCCTCACCATGGGCTGCACCATGACCTGCAGGGTAATCTCTGCTCCTTTGCCTGCAGCAGCACCACTACCTCCTCCTCCTTCTTCACTGACCTTCTCTCACATCTTCTAATTCCTCTTTCCTAGCTGCTGTGCAACATTTTTACCCTTTCTTAAATATGTTATCACGGAGGAGCCACCAGCTTTGCTGACGGGCTCAGCCGTGTCCTGCAGTGGGTCCATTTTGGAGCCAGCTAGAACTGGCCCTGTCCGATGCAGGGGCAGCCCCTGGTATGTTCTCACAGAGGCCACCCCTGCCGCCCCCAGCTGGTACCATATAAACTTAATACCATCTCCCATACACTTCATGCTTGTCCCCTCTCAGATCTTGTCAAATAGCAAGCCTGACTTTTTTCTTCCTCCCCCACACTCCTCCACCCTTACTCCTGACAAGGATGGGTTTAGGGTTGAAAGTGTTTTCAATTCCTAATTGAAGGATGGACAGTTACAACATCTGAAAATAGAGATTCTTTTCATACCCTGTTACTATATCCTAAGTGTGTACTCTAATCACCAAGGCTAGTTATAGGCTGTGTTAGTGGCATTGGAGGTCTCTGGCTTTCTGAGGTTAACTTTAAGTGCTGAATGCAGATAGGTTTTCTCTCTTCTCGGCAAGTGGGAATCTTGAGTTGGAGCTGTTGTCTCCTTTTTTTTTTAAAGGCTAGGTCAGGTGGTCCTTGTACAGTCCATACTTACCATAAATATGATTTTCACAATTTGGCAAGACTGTGCTAGAGGAAGGGAAACTATGAACATTCCTGGGAAAAATACATAAGAATTAAATGCGAGGAGAGGGCCTCTAAAGAGGTGCTACTGTATTACGAATGAAAGGGTGTTGTGTGACCAAATTTCATGGATGTACTTTTTTATTGATTACTTGCATATCTAATACTCCTATATTTTATCCTAACAGATGCATGTTCCTGGTCATGCTGGCTTCCAAGGAAATGAAGAAGCTGATAGACTAGCAAGAGAAGGAGCTAGCCAACCGAAGTCCTGACGTGCTGGCACTAGAAATTGTTTCAGTGGGAAGAAAAGGGCAAACATCACAATAACAACTAGAACTGCCGTAATTGTTTCGCAATTGAACTTTGAACTGTACTTCTTTCGGGCCTGAGTGTTGAACATATATACCAACTTCTGAGGATCAAGAGCCCACACTGTCTTCTGTAGTGTTTGTTTTAAAATCGAGTCAGTGTTTAGTTGAAGATGCAGAGCGTTTCCTTTTTCTCTGTCTTGCTGAAGGGCCATGGTCAGTGGTTTTAGCTATCTTGTAGACTTATGAATTCACCACAAAGACAGACTTCTGAAGAAGTAATATTAAATCTTTATTCTAAATGTTCTGTATTTTCCTCTTTGTCAAATAAATAATTTTTTTGTACAGAGGTATATATTAACAGCCCATAATAGTTGGGGGCAGAGGGACTTTGGGGTTGGTTGATTTGGTAAGAGGTCAGTGATATAACATGGAGATGTTCATTAATGTGCTTTGGCATTCTGGTAATAGCAGTAACTGCTCTACCACTGGGCTTGTGACACTCACCTGTGCCTCACAGCATCATCAGTTAACAGCCTTTGTAGGTGTCTTCATAGTGCTACTTGCTTTGCAAGGTAGCATGAACAAACTAAACAGCTCACAAGAGAACTTCATAGAATCATTCAGGTTGGAAAAGACCCTTGGGATCATTGAGTCCAACCATCAGCCCTACTCTGCAAAGTTCTCCCCTGCACCATATCCCCCAGCATCTCATCTAAACGACCCTTAAACACATCCAGGGATGGTGACTCCACCCCCTCCCTGGGCAGCCTATTACACTGTCTGACCACTCTTTCTCTGAAAATTTTTTTTCTACTGTCTAGTCTAAACTTCCCCTGTTGGAGTTTAAAGCCATTCACTCTTGTTCTATCACTAATTACCTGTGAAAAGAGACCAGCACCAACCTCTTTACAATGTCCTTTCAGGTAGCTGTAGAGAGTGATGAGGTCTCCCCTCAGCCTTCTCCAGACTAAATAGTCCCAGCTGCTTCAATCTCTCCTCATAGGATCTGTTCTCCAGGCCCTTCACCAACTTCATTGCCCTCCTCTGCACTCACTCCTTGAACAATGAATTTTTACTGTTTTCTCTAGCTGCTTAATGTCTAAGCTCTTGGCTTCTGGCTTCCTGTTTCCATTAAGTAATTTTTATGCACACTGGTTCTCATTAACATTGTTAGTTCCTCTTCTGTGTTGTCTTAAGGGTAGTAACTGGCCATTTAATCTGAAATGGAACTATAAGATGATCAGTTTCTCCAGATATTCCAGATGTCAAGTGTTTCACTTAATTTTTTTTTTCCAATCAGTGATGAGAATAATTAAATGGCTAATGTGTACTTGGAGTGTAGTTACCAGCAATCAACATAGTTTTATTTTCTATGCATGTACATGGGAAGAGCAAACAGGTTTTATGTTACCTTTGTCAACTTCTTTGTAAGGTGCCTTCATATCATTGAATAGTAGGGCTTAAAGTAGAAGTCACTGAAATTTTTGTTGTATTTTTTAATTGCTGTAAAGGACAGTAGAGCTGCTGAAGCATGATTTCTTAATAGTTCACATGCATTATTTCTTCACTGAGGCAAAGTATGAGCTCTTATGTATTTAGTCATGCAAATTGTGATAAAATGAGGGAACTGACTAGCTAGTAGTTAATAGATGAATTGAGGTTATTTGTTTTCTCTCATTCAAAACTGCACAGTAAAGCTCATCTAGGGGTAAGTTACTGCACTGATTATTCCCCCTCTGCTCCTTTTGTATATGTGCACACAATTGTATATCTATTTATTTATGTTAGAAGTTTGGCTTGAAGAAAAACACCCCACCATTCTTCTTCAGATCTGTAGTTGAGGCAGAACAGTGTGACAATCAACGTACTGAAGAGGTGGCATCTAATAATCTGGCTATTGTACATCTCCACTTAAACGTGTAGATCGTATTTACTGTATGTATTGAAATGTATTTTCTGAAGCAGCAGCTTTGGAAAAAAAGTGTAGCTAATGATAAGTCATAACATCAGTGTAATACTGAATGTAAACAACTTTACTACCTGAATCTAATAAGTCAATTAGAAAATCTTAGTAGGAAAGTGAGTGGGTGACTCCACTCTAAGGGTTGTCAAAGGCCCCATATGCAGACCAGACCCACTTTGTAGGGAAGTCTGCTGCCTCTCTGAGGCCTGCATCAAGGACCTCACAGCAAAACTTCCCATCCTAGTGAGACCCAAGGATTATTACCCTCCTGGTTTTTCGGATGGGCAGTGATGACATCACCAGGAGAAGGCCTAAAGCAATGAAGAGAGACTTCAGGTCCTTGGGAAAACTGCTTAAGAGGTCGGGGGCACAAATTGTGTTCTCCATCCCTTCAGTTGTAGGGATGGATGAGGAAGATTACAGGAGAATTCAGCAGATGAACAGGTGGCTCCAAGACTGCTGTTACCATCAGGGTTTTGGATTCTTCAATCATGGGTTGGTATGCAGTGCACCAGACCTTTTGGCATTAGATGGAATGCACCCGTCCCAGAGAGGGAAGAGGATCTTGGGGCAGGAGTTAGCTGGGCTCATTGACAGAGCTTTAAACTAGATTTGAAGTGGGAAGGGGGCAAAACACCAGCCCATCTGAAGTGCATGTGTACCAATGCACACAGCATGGGTAATAAACAGGAGGAGCTTGTAGCTGTGATGAAACAGGAAAATGATGATGACATGGCTATTACAGAGACATGGTGGGATGTCTGCCATGACTGGAGTGTGCCAAGAGATGGCTACAAGCTCTTTAGGGGGCGATAGACAGGGAAGGAGAGGTGGTGGGGTGGCGCTGTATGTTAAGGACTGTTATGATTGCTTTGAGCACAGGTGTAGTGAAGACAGGGTGGAGTGTCTTTGCATTAGAATCGGGGGAAGGCCAACAGGGCAGATGTTGTAGTAGGAGTCTACTAAAGGCCACCCACGCAGGACAGAGAGATGGACAAGATATTTTATAGGCATTTAGGTGAAATCTCACAATCACTTGCCCTTGTTCTTGTGGGCAACTTTAACTTCTCAGACATCTGCTGGAAATACAGCAGAGCAAGGCCAGTCCTAGAGATTCCTGGACTATGTGGGAGACAACTTCCTGATGCAGCTGGTGAGTGAATCGACCAGAGAAAGTGCTCTGCTGGATCTCCTCTTTGTGAACAGAGAATGACTGATGGATGGTGTGGCAGTTGGAGGACAACTAGGGCACAGCAATCATGAAATAATAGAGTTCTCTATTCTTAGAGAGGGCAGGAGAGGGTTAAGCAGGACTGACATCCTGGACTTCAGAAGGGCTGAATTTGACTTTAGGCACCTGCTTGAAAGCATCCCCTGGGAGATGATCCTGAAGGGTACAGGGGTCCAGGAAGGCTGGGCACTTTTTAAGAAAGAAGGGTTAATGGCTCAGCAGCAGGCTGTCCCCAGGTGCTGTACGAGAAGCCGACGCCAGAGAAGACCACCCTGACTGAACAGGGAGCTTTGGCTGCAACTCAGGGAGAAAAGGAGAGTTTACAGCCTTTGGAAGAAGGGGCTAGTGACTCACAGTGATTACAAAGAGGCTGTGAGGCTATGCAGGGTGGAAATCAGGAGGGCTAAAGCCCAACTGGAAATTAATTTGGCCTCAGCAGTCAATGATAACAAGAAATGTTTCTATAAGTATGTCAGTAGCAAAAGAAAGACCAGGGAGAGGCTCCATCCCCTGCTAGACGCAGGAGGAAACATGGTAACAAGTGATGGGGAAAAGGCTGAGGTGCTTAATGCCTTCTTTGCCTCAGTCTTTAGTAACAAGACTAGTTGTACTGAGGGAATCCAGCCTCCTCAGCCAGAAGACAGAGACTGGCAGAACAACCCCCCTGCAATCCAGAAGGAGACAGTCAGTGACCTGCTGCATCACACAGACACACACCAGTCTATGGGACCGGATGGGATACACCCGAGGGTGCTGAAGGAGCTGGCTGGGGTGCTCGCCAAGCTGCTTTCCATCATTTACCAGCAGTCCTGGCTGACCGGGGAGGTCCTGACAGATTGTAAATTGTGACGCCCAGATATAAGAAGGGTCGGAAGGATGATCTGGGAAATTACAGGCCTGTCAGCTTGACTTCAGTACCTGGGAAGCTGATGGAGCAGCTCATCCTGAGTACCATCACACAACACATGTGGGACAAACAGGGGATCAGGCCCAGTCAGCATGGGTTTATGAAAGGCAGGTCCTGCCTAACAAACCTGATCTCCTTCTACCACAGGATGACCTGCTTATTGGATGAGGGAAAGGCTGTGGATGTTGTCTACCTTGACTTTAGGAAGGCCTTTGACACCATTTCCCACAGCATTCTCCTGGCAAAACTGGCTGCTCAAGGCTTGGACAATCACACACTTTGCTGGGTAAAAAACTTGCTGGATGGCCGGGCCCAAAGAGTTGTGGTGAACAGAGTTAAATCCAGTTGGTGGCCGGTCACGAGTGGTGTCCCCCAGGGCTCGGTGTTGGGGCCACTCCTGTTTAACATCTTTATTGATGATCTGGACGAGGGGATCGAGTGCACCCTCAGTCAGTTTGCAGATGACACCCAGTTGGGTGGGAGTGTTGATCTGCTCGAGGGCAGGGAGGCTCTGCAGAGAGACCTGGACAGGCTGGAGCCATGGGCTGAGCCCAACTGGAGGAGTTTCAATGAGGCCAAATGCCGGGGGCTGCCCTTGGGCCACAACAACCCCCAGCAGTGCTACAGGCTTGGGGAGGAGTGGCTGGGGCTGGCTTGTGTCAGCAATAGCGTGGCCAGCAGGGACAGGGAAGGGATCTGACCCCTGTACTCGGCACTGGTGAGGCCGCCCCTCGATTCCTGTGTTCAGTTTTGGGCCCCTCACTACAAAAAGGACATTGAATGACTCGAGCGTGT